TAAGAGAAACTTCCTGCCTAACTATGCTTGACATCTTTTCCAGCGCGTGATTGGACGTGAGTAATTTGAAAGATTTTCCACTGAAGAAAGAGACGAAACGTTGAAAACTTTTGGCGTGAAACCCTTGTGTCAAAAGCGCTTTTAACGATCCCGTTTAAACATCCTCGCACACAACACATTTGTGAGGTGGCATCATGATTGCTATTTACACTGTTTCTGATGTTAAAATAGATTCTGGAGACCATGAATAGTGCGTAACATTCCACGTCTAAAATTCTGGCGTGTTCTTTCCATTTATTGAATGTGACTTGGAAAGCAACTGATTTGAGAACAGCTTTTTCTCTTTGGCCTTCTCTTTATAATAATACTAATAATAATCCTTGTATTCGATATAACGCCTTATCACTTCACAGGATATATTGTGAAATGGATTGACTGTGTATTTGTGGGGCAAAACGCAACAGCCAATTTTACGAGTTATATAATTTTATAGTTTATATATCTTCAATTATATGCACAGGCTTCACACCTTGAGGCACCATCCTGATACAACAGGTGCTATGGAAATGGAAATTTGTTATGTTGTAACACCAGTGTGGTATATTTATTTCTAAAACAACTTCAGGAAATGTTATACTTTTGTTAACTTTGCAAAACTTGTCTGAAACAAAATTCCCCCTAACCCCAAAATAATTACATTACACTACGCCTCTTGTGCCCATCATCACGATCCCTGACTGTTCTGTTTCTGCCCGAGGACTAGTTTTCTAAGCAATCTCTCTTGACTAGTAAATACGAATATGAAAATAATCCAATTTACATTAAACAGCTCAAGGTGGGCTGGATGAGGCTGTTTTGGGGATGCATCTGTTCCAGATTGATGGAACGTTTCCTCTGTTTTGTGGCATAGAACAATGCAAGAGGTTTTTCACTGTGGGGTGAATTCCAAGCCTCAGACACAAGGAGACAATATGTTGCACTGGCACTGAATTGGCAAAGAAGCTAAGAGCGGACAGCACCTGATTGAACTTCAAATAGCCTCAATCAACTGGCAATTTGCCAACAGACGAAGAGCAATAAACTGACCTGAAGCCCATCGCAGGATGTGTCTGAAAGTTTAATGTTGTACAAAACAGCAACAGAGGTGCATCGGTGTGCAAGATGATACGTTCAGAGCTAACCATCACCTATATATGGCTGAACTGTAGATGAAAGTAGAGAAGGGAAATGAATGATTGTGAAGACAAAAGTGCTACCAACTTAGCCAAGCTGATGCTTACAAGTAAGAGTTTGATGTACAGATAGATGCCTTCATCTTTTAAATGGGTTTTTAAACAGCTGCAAAGCAAGACCCATTACGTTTGCCTTTTGAAACTTTCAAACCTATGCTTTAAAAGTTTCAGTAGACAAAAGCCTTAACAGTGGATCCTTGTGGGTGAATAAATAAATAAGTTCAATTTACTATAAATTCTTTGTGGCTAGCGAAGTATTTTGTTATTCACAAAGTTTGGTGAGAAGTGCGTTTTCTAATGGGGCATATTCCAACATCTGCCGACTTTGAGTCCAGAACAGTTTAAGTCGGACTATTTTGTTTTTCTTTGAAACAGAATGAAAAAAAATGTGCATGAAAAAACACAGAACAAATGTAACCAAAATGTGCAGTCGAGGCAAAGCTCTGTGCCCAGTGAAACACCTGTACATCTGAGTTCAGTTACGTTGTGTGTTATTTAGAAACTGTTCCCTGGTGTTTTTCTGGGGAAGAAGGTGCTTGAATGAGCTACCATAATGAAGAGGGATATCGTCAATTTGAAATCTAAACCTAATTGCTTACATAACCCCGAGTCCGAAAGCCTTTGATGTCTGAACTGGATGTTCTCTCTGCTGCCCTGCTGTGTCTTTCTGGTTTTCGGTTTGATAGAGGTTTAGACTTATTTGAACTGATTAATAGCGCAGCCCCTGATATTTTCAAAAGCATTCCTCCCGACAGTCTCCATGGTGATATGGCCAATTGACAGCTCAGCGCCTGTTGGAGTGCAGCTGTTGGCCTGGCAGACTTGCAAGACTTGCCTGCCTCTTGGATTGGGGCATTGAGTCAGCACTCACCTTGGATCATCTCAACTTGAGCTCGGTACGCTTGCAGAGTGGTGGCAGCAACACCCTTATATATAAGCCACGTCCCATAGCGAAAGCAGTGCCTGCTGAACATTCTACCTTTCTACTGCGGAGTCCTGTGACGTATTGGTTAGTGAAAGGACCTGGGTTTGATTCCCGGGCTGGGTGAAACCTTAGGCAAGTCTCCTAACTCCTCTGTTTACTGAACAGTTTCACTGAATCATTGAACCCGGTTGTTAATCGATTGGCGGATCGCGTTCCGGGGGTAATAATCCCTCCAAAAAAAATTGGTCACCCATGACTGTTTGCAGGACACCGCTGGGTGCAATTGGCTGCCGCATTTCACCCACAAAATACTAAATCAATCCACTTTGCAGTATATTATGTGAAGCTCTTTGAGACGTCTCAGCGACGTGTATAAGACGCCTTATCAAGTGCAAGTATTATTTAGAATTCCTTGAATTATTGAATCCTGTTAATATTGCAGTTTTTCCTGCATTTAAAAGATTTGTTTTCTCTCTCTCCTGAATTGCATTTTAATCCCAAATGTTCTAAAAGTGAGAACGGTCCCGATCTCAATTCCTCTCAATCCTCCCCTCACATCCCCGTCTGGCCCACTCCTAGATCATGTGCCTCGCAGCTGAAACACTGTTCATCATGGAGCAGATGATTAATGGTTAAAGTACTGTAATTGAAGTTCCTCACCACACGACCAGTGCCAACAGGCCTGACAGCCATGATGCCACTTGAATAATCAACTCCGAGCAGGGAGTTTCACTGAAACTTTCCGCTCTCAGGCTCTGATCACCGCTGCTGTAGAAACCCAGGTATTCTCGTATTTAGGAATGTGGAAACTCAGCACCTTTTTTAGAGCTTCGGTTTTATTTCTGCATCAGAACGAAAAGAATAACATGCCTTTGTTCTCTCATTCCCCCCCCCCCCCCCCCTTCAAGATGCAGAATAGTGCATATTCTGGGAAATGACTTACCTTTATTAAAGGATATGTGCCTTAACCGCCCCGCCCCCCCACCTCACCCCACTCCCGCCCTGCCTCACCCCACCCCACAACATTATCTTTCTCGTTTGCTCTGGGGAACATGCTCAAAGTAAACTTTTCTTTCTTTCATTTATCTGATCGTGGCCGTGAGCCTGACCCCTGACCTCCTGCATTTCTCACCTCCTGGAAGGATCGATTTCACAGCTGACAATTGCATGATCACTTTACAGCAGTTGGGAAGTTGCTGGTTTCATTTTCTAGATACTAGAAGGAAACAAACCTGAATTTCATTATCAGTTTTGAACCTGTTGGAAATACAGTAAGTACACAAGGTTTTATTTAACCTAGGCATCTAGGCATCTAATAACTATGTCCAGAGTGTCTGTGTATGTGTGTGTGCATGTATTATTTTATATACTTATAGTGAAAGTGTATTTTTCAACCCTCCTTTTATCAAGTGGTTCAGCAGCATGATTTGAGTCAATGGGGCAGGATAGGATTGCCAATCCTTTCATACAATTCAAACAGTTTGCAGTTTCGAACAAAAATAGTTTTAACTATTCCTTTACTGAAGGTATTATTAATTTATAATATACTCAGGGTAAATTCATTGTGGGATGCTTTGGGCCGTCCTCCTGACATGAAACAACAACAACAAACTACATTTGTAAAGTGCCTTTTACATCGGGAGGACATCCCAAGAGGTGGGACAGTCAGGGGATTTGGACCTGAGCTGGGGTTTGCAATCAGGAGGGGTGGAGGGCAGGGAGGGTAGTGTTAGGCAGGTGACTGAAGGCATGGTCAAAGAGGAGGGTCTTGAGATGGCAAGTTAGGGAGCGAGGTGAAGCGGATGGAGTTCCAAAAGGTAGCAGCAAAAGGTTGAAGGCCTGATTGCCGAGGGTGGGGTGCGGCAGGGCAGGTGAGAGACATGGAGCAGGTCAGAGCCTGCTGAGTGGAGGAAGCGAACAGAACTTTATGAAAGACACTATACCGAATGCAAAGATTATTTGAATTCACATAAGTTGCAATGAATGTACGAGCCATGAAACCAATGTTCTGTGTGTACTACAGAAAATTGAGGGAAAGAAAATGCCCTTTTATTCATGGTACAATAGTCGATCTGTAATTGCACAAAAAAGATGAAGAGTTCAACAGGAGCTTTTTTGTAAAAACAAAGTATAGTTTGTTGCACAAGGGAGTTGTGGGAGTGCATTGTATTTGTCCCGAGTTGATTGGCATTTGGCGTTATCTGTGGACAAAAGACTAGAAAACGGATGCAATGATAACAATATGTTGTTTTGAATACATTCCTCTGTGTCCTGCACATCTATTACTTTGTCACTAATGTTGCGGGTGCCTTTCGCACGTGTTGTTTCACAGGGGACAGGTAGATTCTTGGCTGCAAACAATATTGGGAGGAAAGGAGTTCATTGTATTGAGCCAGTTAGTGTGAGTAATAATAATCCTTGCATTAGATATTAGCGCCTTAGCACATCATTGAGATATCGCAAAGCATTTCACAGAATATATTGTCAAGTGGATTGACTGTGTATTTTGTGGGCGAAATGTGGCAGCCAAATTGCACAGAGCTGTATCCCACAAATAGTCGTGGGTTGAGTGACCACATTTTTTATTTTTTTGAGAGATTATTACTGTCGGAAACCAATCCGCCAATCGACTAGCAACAGAGTTCCTAATTACTGCTCGGTAATTAGAGGCGTGTGGAGTAAGTAAACTTGCCAACGTTTTGCCCTGCCCGGGAATCTAACCCGAATCCTCTTGCTTGCAAGCACACTAACCAATACGCAGAAAGTTATGCTGCATCATTCTGAATCTGTTTCCAAATGATCCGGTGCTGTGGAGTAATTGCCGTAATACCTTGTGTTTGCAGGTCTCTCTTCAGGGCGAATTGAGAGTTGGAAACCCGATGTCTGATTGGATGCCTCTTCCTCTGGTTCAAACATTGCAAAGAATTCCAGGCTCCTCGGCAAGGTATTTTCCGAGTTAAGTTGATGGTTTTAGAAAACGGAAGAGGATGGTGTTTTGGGGTGGATTCATGCAACTCACAAATTAACTGCTGTTAAAATCTTGGACTCGCACAGATAGTGAAACAACAACTATTTACCTCTTAAGAATAGAGTGTAAAATCACAAAACAATTGGCACTATTGATGCCATCGAATTACTGCACAAAGTATTGCAACTCTTCCCAGGTGAGGTGGATCCTAGATAAAGAGTAGGCCATTCAGCCCATTGAACTCCTAGACGACCTTTTAATCCCATTCCCCCACACCCCTTTAATCCTCTTGTTTCTCACTTATCTCCCTCCCCTTTGAACACCTTCGGGGGACGTTTATTTCACTTCACCACAACCCTCTGTGTGAAGAAATGTTTTCCAATCTCACTTCTAACCATCTTTAGCCTTAATATTAAGACTATGTCCCCTTGCTTTGGATGCCTTAGATCGTCTCACCAATATCATAAACTGAATCCACAACTGTTTGGTGGACACTGCTGTGTGCAATTGGCTGCCGCAATTCGCCCACAAAATATAGTCATTTCACTTTACAATATATTCTGTGAAGCGCTTTGAGACATCTAGAAGACGTGGAAAGTACTATATCAAATGCAAGGATTATTATTGTTATTATTGTAACAATAACATGTATGGACACCAAAGTGAGATCATTAGAGCATTGATATTTATGAGATTTTCCTCTGAATATGTAATGGACACTGTTATTTGAATTTGACCAGAAAGACAACGGCTGTGTCATCTAATCTCATAAAACTGTCAGAGTCTTATTTCTGGGGTTGTAAAGAAATTGAATTTGTGACTGCTGTAATTTATTTAGTTCCTTAACAATATTTTATCTTTCAAATATCGGAACTACATTACTACAATGAATGAATCAAAGGCTGAGATGCCTGCAGACTTTGACAGGTTTTATACTGTGTGTGTATGGTGTGTGTGTGTGCTTGATTCAATGGCTGACAACCTCACAATATGAACTTAAGGATCTGTCCGCTGCACAAGGTTAGGTCATTTGAAACTACAACAAGTGAATGAGGAGATTGATTGGGCATCGCTTTGGGTCACAGCTTTTATTTTAAATGGGAATCATGAGGGGGAAAGGACAAGTGTTTGATTGGCAGAAATGTCATGATGTTTTTCAGCCAAGCTGGTGCAATTTCTGTCTCGCTGCTCTGGCACACATTGCCCTTTTTTTGTTTGCATTTCAAACCCGGCAAATGTATAGTTCAGATCTCTCGGATGTGTGTTGACAAAGAGATTGCTGTGAATGCAGGGAGATGATATGTCTGTTTGCTCAAGCTGATGTTTGGAATGTGGCGATAAATCATGAGTAAAAAGGGGGAGGATTTTTTTTTCGCTTCAAACCCATTGACACTAACTCATCCTTCAAAGCATTTCGCATTAAAATAGCCCTTAAAATAGAAGCAAGAACGCTCTTCGGAAACGTATAGCGAATGACTCACAGCAGGGCATGAACTTCACTGTGCTTCTGTTGCTGGGCAGTCGGATAATTATAATAATAATAATCCTTCCATTTGATATACCACCTTATCAAGTTGTTGAGACATCTCAAAGTGCTTCACAGAATATTTTGCAAAGTGAATTGACTGTGTATTTTGTGGATGAAACCATTGTCCCACAAACAGTCATGATTGAATGACCCAATTTTTTGGGGGGGATTATTACCCCCAGAAATAGATGCTCTAATCAACTCTAATCAACTTTCCTCCTTCAAGGCCGGTCTCAAGACCTTTCTCTTTGACCGTGCCTTCAGCTCCCCTCTTGACTCTCTACCCCCTCCTCGCTCCCTCCCTTCCCTCCCCTCACCCTGACCAATTCCCCCCTGCTCGGGTCCTGACCCAACTGTACAGCGCCTTGGGACGTCCTCCCGACGTGAAAGGCGCTCTATAAATGGAATCTTGTTGTTGTTATTGTTGTAACATCCGACTTACTGCTAGGTAAGCAAAGAAAACAACAACACAACTTACATTTATATAGTGCCCTTCACATAGTATAGCACCCCAGAGTGCTTCGACAGTGAATAACATTTCTGACCGGTCTTGAAAGGATAGACGATGAAAATGGAGAACGTTACCTTTTTTGAACTATACCTGCCCTTTAGTTTGCGACAAAATTAATATTTTTGTGGGATGGTTACAATATTTTTTTGTTGGAGTATTGATGGAAAATGGGGGGGGTCAAATATAAAAGAAAGATCGGAAGGGCCATCAAGGTCAGAAGGTTTTGATTTCTATTGAATGTTTCCTTCCTTGGAGTTTAATGTAACACCACCACAGCACCTGGCTTTTGAGCGCTCAGTTGAAATATGTGTTTGTTATCGAGCTATAAAAGTTTTCCATTGTGAAAGCGGTGACCGGGGCTGTTCTTCATGACTGCACCTGGTACTTTCCAAATGATCTTAATCTTCTGAAATTTGTATGAGGATGTGACGAGTGAATGAGAAACATCACATGGTTCAACCGCTGCAGCTGGAGTGTCAATGTGCTTCTTGCATTTCCTGTACTCAGTCTTTGTGATCTTATTGTCTTATTCCAAGGCAGCAAAGGCTGATTCCATATCAATGTGCATGTCAGCACCTGTCTTTAATAGCACCGTTCCCTATTTGAAATGAGAAGGGAGTTTCTCCAGGTGTCCTGGCCGACTTATAAAATTCGCAGCACTTTGAAGGGGTCGCAATGACATGATAAGCGGGAGAGCGGAGAGAAGGAGACTGCACACTCCACACAAGACAAATGAAAATTTCCATACCTATGTGGAAATCTCAGTGTCTTATTCTGGAAGCTCTAAGAATGGCGATGTGTTTATGTGCATGTTAGGGACTTGGCTGATTCATCCCAAAAATTGGAACTAGAGAAATTAGATATAGAGGCTACAGATGCAGTTGAACTTTGCACACTAGCCTTTGTACCTTGTTAGTACACAGTGACACTGATTTCTTCCAGACTTCATGCCGTCATCACTCGGAGTTGCCAGGAGTAAATGTTTGGTTTTGATCTGTTATCGTCAAGGCTGAATTGATCTCGGGCCCTGAAATCAGCTTGATTTTCATAGCAGAGTTGGCTTGCGGTCTGAAAATCTACTACGGAATTAAATTTCTAATGAATAGAAATGTTGGCAGAGATTTAAAGTTAATAAGATTAAATGGGATTGATTTTGAAAGAAATTATTCTGTGCTATGTTTGGATATACATTTACTGATATTGGATTTTCTGCCAATATTGCACTTCAATCCTGTCACTTGCTCTCCGGCAAAAACGTATTGTGCTGATAAGTTGACTGTAGTGTCACGTCTCACGTAGTGTGTGGAGAGCGCAGGCATTGAAACTTTAAAAATAGATAGAAATGAATTGGAAAGCTTCCCCCTTTGGGAGGGGTGAAGTGGCAGTCCAGGCTTCTGTTGTCATCCTTGCCCCCTCCCCCCTCACCAACCATCCACATTGGCTAATATCAGAGCTTCCTGTAAGCAGGTGTCACCTTGGAGCAGATTGTGTGCGCGCAAGGGTGACCTGCAGTAGTGGAGGGAAGCGTTTGCCTACAAATACACAGTCACTACACTTCATGGTAAAATCCCGTTAAGTGCTTTGAGACAGACAACCACCCCATTAAAACGAGGAAGAACTTCGCTTGCAGTGCCTACCTATTTCGTTCTCGTTTCTTCTTCCAACAATAACAACAAATTACATTGATACAACGCCTTTCACGTCGGAGGGAAGTGCCAAGTTGCTGAGATTCCTCTACCCCTAATTGTGGTGTGTTGTCATGGCGTTCCTGTATGTTGCCGTGGCATTGCTCTGTGTTGCCTTGGCATTGGGGTGTGGTGTCAGTCGACCGCCTCCTCAACAGAGAGATATTTTGGAATTCCAAGTCATTTTCAATTTCTTTGAATGCCACAAAATTTCCAGCATAACATTTCCCAAAGGACTGAACTCTCTTTTTTTTAATAAATAGCCTATTTTGTTGAGCCCCACAGAGTTGATATTGTGGAGGGGTGCAGCTTTGAACTTCTGTTATCCGCGGTCCACTGACTCTATTACTGCACTGTATGAGCAATGATATTTTTATTGGGCTTAATGGGCACTATATTTAGTAGCTGATACAGCAGATAGCCCCTGATATTTCGGGGATGTTGCGTGCTGAGCGCATTAAAAGACAGGCGTGTGATATGATATCCTAAGCTGTTAGAGCGCAAGCTGGGCCATGTGTTACTGCACGTACGTCTGTGGCCTGACAGCCCATAATATTCATGCCATCGAAAAGTTTTGCAGTGATAGTTAGAATGTTGTGCCTATAAGCTTCACTCTGATTTCGTGATGCATATTGTATAATATTCCTCTGGTTTAGTATAGCGTCCTATCACGTCGGAAGGGTGTCTCATAGCGCTTCGCAGGATTTACTGTGAAATGGAGTGACTGTGTATTTGTAGGCAACACAGTTCTGTACAGACAGGGATTGTTGGCAAGGAAAAACTCTTTTTGAATAGTGCCACGGGATCTTTAATGACTACCCGAACAGGCAGATAGGATTTTGGTGTAATTTCTCATCCGAAGGATAATACCTACGAGAATGCACCTATTGTGCTATCTTATAACAGACTTGCACGGCTTTCATGTTGGATGGACATCTCGAAGCACTTCACAAAAAGCAGTATCATTGAGTGGGGGAGGGGGGGGTGGAGGAACGAAGACAGAGAATATATGGGTGTTGACCAAAGACACGGTGAAAGAGATGCATTTTTAGAAGCAGTTTGAAGGCAGGAAGAGAAGGTACAAGACAAAATGACATTGGGAGAGAATTCCATTAAGAGGGGGAAGCATACAGAGATTTCCTTAGGACTGAGCTGCCTCACAATAGCAAGCTGTGTGGTTTTAGCTGGTTAACCTCCAACTTGGTAGCCGAACACACACTCTGGAGTCCCACAAGTCTTGGCTCTTGCAACC